TTGCTCTGACTTATTTCGCTTAGCATAATACTCTCTAGCTCCATCCCTGTCATTGCAAATGGCAAGATTTCGGTCTTTTTTTTTTTATGGCTAAGGAATATTACATTCATTGTATATGTGTGTACTACATCTTCTTTATCCATTCATCAATCGATGGACACTTGGGCTATTTCCCTAATTGGCTATTGTAGATAATGCTGCTATAAATATTGGGATGCATGTATCCCTTTGAATTACTTTTGTATTCTTTGGGTAAATATCTAGTAGTACAATTGCCGGGTCACAGGGTAGCTCTATTATTAATTTCTTGAGGAACCTCCATACTGTTTTCCAGAGTGGCTGCACCAGTTTGCATTCCCACCAACAGGGCGAGAGGGTTCCCCTTTTTCTGCATCCTTGCCAACATCTGTTGTTTCCTGTGTTGTTAATTTTAGCCATTCTGACAGGTATGAGGTGATATCTCATTGTAGTTTTGATTCGTGTTTCCCTGATGATGAGTGATGTTGATCATCTTTCCATGTGTCTTTTGGGCATCCGTATGTCGGGGTGCTTGGCTGGCTTAGTCAGAAGAGCATGTGACTCTTGATCTCAGGGTCATGAGTTTGAGCCCCACCTTGGGTGTAGAGATTACATAAAAATAAATATATAAATAAACTGAAATGATATTTTAACCCAGGACAACATATCTAAATTATTAAAACAAAAATAGAATGCAAATGTTCTGAATTCCAACTTTGAAAACCTTTCTGCTACACCATGCTTCCACTTCCCTTTTTAAAAACATGGGGTGGTATAATACTATGTAAATCTATTTCCAGCTAAACCTCTCTGAGGGAAAGTTTCAAAGCATGCATGGCTAGAAGGATGGTGGTGACATTAACAGAGGAACAGTGTGGAGAAAATATGTTTTCATTATGATATTTTCCTGAAATGCTGAGTCAGATTTGTCACCCATGAGGATGGAATAAACTCTTTTTCAGGCATGCAAAGTCTCAAAAAATGTAGCTGCTATGCAACCTTTGATAGAAAGCTTCTGACAGATGTCCTCTGCCAAAATGAGGAACTAGACCACAAAAAAAGACATGGGACCTGGGAGAGAGCAGTACAACATAGGAGAGGCAAAGTGAATGCCCGGGATGATGGTGAAAGATGATCCCAGGATGGCGGCTGTGTCGTAGGACAACATAGTCTGGATTGGAGCAGGCTAGAAGCTCCAGGAGTGATTTCTTCAATACGATAAACATGATGAAATATCAGATATGCTTGTATATGTTGAAAGTCAATTTATCCAACAAGGAGGGAGTTAATTAATTGAATTGTCTATTAATATATGGAAAATTGGAAATGGAAACATTAAATCTAGAGTAAATGAAAGTTATGCAAGAAAAGAAAATTAGTACACTACGAGGTTCAGCTGGAATAGATTTACCTAGTATTATTATTGTAAACATTAAATAGTAATCTAAACACAAGTTTGTTCTATTGGGAGTATGGGAGGAGGTAAGAAGGAGGAAGTGATGTGTAGAAGTGTGGGCAAAAAAGAGCTAAATCCTCACTTTGCTTTACTAAGAAATCGGGAAATAATAAAGTAAACAAAGAAACAAAAACAAGGGACATCTTAAATAAATTTTAAATGTATGGAAGTAAAAGAATCAGCTAAAAGAGTTAAAAGTCTTTGCATTTGGGTAAAGGAAGGGTGTGGGGAGTGGTGATGACAGTATGCTTTTATTTAAACACTGAACTCTGTAGAATGATAGAATCTTCAAAATATCTGTATATTTAACTCTGATTTAAAAAAAGAAAAAAACAACTGAACTGCAAGAAGGCAGAAGAGAAGAGATTCATCTTAGCAAGATAGATGGATGATTCCAGTTAAGGGTGAAGATAATGCAGAAAAGGAAAGTACAAATTAAGAAACTTCAGGGAATTTGACTTCAGATTATCTCTTACTTTACCAAAAAGATAATGAGCTAATATCTTCTTCTGAAAGTCAAAGCAGTTGAATATTAGAAATGGTAAGATTGTCACAGAGAGGCAAGATGTATAAAAAGATTACCAAGCATCAGTAGTATCCAACTGATATTGGATAACCTGAATTTGTAGGGTGCTTTGTTAGTGCATGCTCATGGTTTTCTGTAGCAACTACAGTCTATGAACGAAATATCCAATAGTGAACTTGGGAGCTTATTAAGAGTTGGGAAATGGTGAAGATGAGCCAAAGGAGAGACAAGATTCTAGGTTGTTTCCAGCCCTTTAGAATTTAGAGAGGCAAATGAAGCCATATTTGGGGAACACCAGGGAAATTAGAAGAGATCAAGAGACTGGGGGTTATAATTATAAAGAAGAAGAGAATGAAAAAAAGAGGATGTGAGATGGATGTCAAAGATGGGAATTGCAGGGGCGCCTGGGTGGCTCAGTCGTTAAGCGTCTGCCTTCGGCTCAGGTCATGATCCCAGGGTCCTGGGATCGAGGCCCACATCGGGCTCCCTGTTCTGTGGGAAGCCTGCTTCTCCCTCTCCCATTCCCCCTGCTTGTGTTCCCTCTCTCGCTGTGTCTCT